AAAGATTTATCCTAACAGATCATTTTTTCACTCTAGTATTACATGTAGTTTAACATCCTTTAGAGATTTTTATTTTCTTGAAAATGCTTATTGTGCAGTTTCTCCTATTGAGTACTTATAGCCATCTTTGAATGCCTTTTACTTTTCATATCTATATGTAATAGAGGACAAGTGAAGTTACCTCGTCATTGAAAGATTTAAATTTTAATCCTTTTTTCTATTTCTTAAGTTTTGATTTTTAGTTTATTTTCTATACAACGTCTAATGATTATGTAATATTTGTTGATAGTCCCCAGTAACATTCATTTTTCAATTTATTTATCATGTATTTACAGATGTAAAACCTCCTCCCAAATAGAATTAGATATTTATGCTATTTTCTAGGCTATAAAGTCATGCTGGTGGAAATGCTTCTGGAATATTTATGCATGGTTAATCATATTCAATTTGAAACAGACATGATATAAAATATTTGCCTCACATGAAGTCAAAGGAATGACTTTGGTAGTCAGATGATATATATCAGTCCTGTTCCAAACCTGTTGCACACAAAAAGAAGGTGGCTTTAATTATTTATTTTCTCCTCTAACCTGTCAATATTAATCCTTTAGGGAATTATAAAAACATCTTTCCAACCATTATTTACTTGTTTGTACCACATTTTGCCTCCCCCTCCTCCCCATCCCTGATAATTGCAAAGTACAGTTGGCCCATAAATTTAATGAGGGTTAGATTTATAAACCCATTACAAATATTAACAGTTTGTGAATACATGCTCTGGATATTGCAAGCATAAATAGGCTAGTCTGTAGTAAGGCAGTGATAGTTGCATAATTTTGAAGACTATTTTGCTGGTTAGATTTATAAAAGTAACTTTCTCTCTTTATAGACAATACAGAAATACATTTACTGCTTTAAGATTAATGCAAGTAGGTACTTATTCAAAGTGCATCATATGTGTACATGCATTAATGTTTGATTGTTGTATCATTTTGAATACAGAAAGTAAATACTTGAAGGATTAAATCACAGAAATGTTAAGAGATATACCATGAATATATAGATATGTATAAATATGACAATCATTATGAAATGATTTATTCAGAGTACAGTAAACCATTGTTTTATAAAAAAATTTTGCATTGCTTTTGATTGTTTTAGTTTTTTGGCCCCAATTAGATGAAATTAGATCATATGCTGTAAACATAAAGAATTTGATAGAAACCAAAGGTACTTACTGCAGCAGCAAAGTGAGCAGGTTGGGAGTGCATACATATGCTGATAGCTTGTATGTGTTTGTTGTGAATTAGTTCTTGTGTACTTGTTTGCTAACATGGGGCCAAAGCGTAAGGCTTGTGAGAGGTGGTAATGTTTCCAAACGGCAGCGGAAAGTAATTGCATTATGGGAGAAAGTTAAAGCGTTTGGCAGGAACAAGGCACTGTGGGAAAAAGTTAAAGAGTGTGGTGGCAGGTGCTGTAGGGGCATGTCTGGCACTGCTCATGCACATTCATTTTCGGCAAATGAGCCAGCTGTTCGTACTCCCTTCGATCCTATAACTTCTTCATACATCATCCACTCTAGGCGAAACAGGTTTTCTAACATACGTAAGTATTATTGTGTATGCATACGTATGTCTGTAATTTTTTTATAAAATTTTGTATGCAAATGTATTTTCTGCATTGAATTGTAGTATGTACGCAAATATTTCAAGCAATTATTCATAAAGTAAGGGTTTACTGTACGTTATAGTGATAAATGCAGTAAAACACAAAAGCGATGTTCACAATGATGCAGCCAAATACAGACACTGCCAACTGCTTATGTAAAAGAGAGGGCAGGAAAAGGATGCCCACATTCATTGCTCAGCAGTAATGCTTGTTCAAAGTACTTTATATATATTTATTACATATAATTTTGTTCTGCTGCTTTATATTATTATTTGCTACTTTTATGTTATCTTCATATACCTTGATATATATTTAGGCCAAGCTTGGAGATACTAAGATGTGAAAACATCAAACTTGTGAATAATGTGGGCCAACTGTATACAATGCTCGGAAATATGTAGCTTCATTATATTCCATTTCCTATGAGACATTTTATGTAAATTACTTTAAAGTGAGTTATGTTGTTTCTTGTGCTTTCCCTGTATAGACTTCATATATGCAAGAATTTTAGAGAATTGCATATGATTTTCCAGTGCAGACACGTGCATGCTAGGGAGTATGTGCAGACTGGTATGAAATAAGTATATGCATGCAAACAAACATAATTAAATGGCTAACAAAATATGTACTTTTAACCACAGCAGTGCAAGCAAATGTATATATTATTATTTTGGCTTACAGTTACTGAAATATATAAACTTTAAAACATAATCCACTTCCATTCTCAGTTATGTTTACAGATGAAAGCATTTCAAGTACATATGTACATTTTCTTATATATTTCCATTACTAAAGATCAGTGTTCTACAGTTTATCCATCTTCCAGGCCACCAGCAAGGAGCTGAGGGGGTTGATGTCCGAGGCCTAGAAGAGGGCAAGCTATTTGAACCCAGGCAAGAACCCTTTGTACCACCACCGATTGAGGTATTGTTGAGGTTACTTGGCTATCTGTTATGGAAATTATCCTTACTTCTTTTATTGTAGATGCTGGTTTATTTCATGATGAATATTATTGCTATATGAGTATTACATATTTTGATATCTATTGTAGATGCTAGTACTTTGATTATTATACGTTTTTGATTTTCATGTAATATTTTTTTTCTATTTATATAGTATTTATTTTATCATATATCTATTTTTCTATGGGAGAGGAGAATGTTATACTAGTTATCCTCTTCCACAGTGCATTTTGTAAGGGTTGACTGTTTTATCAACATAAAAGAACCATTCAGTAAGCCAAAACTCATGATGCAACTTTCTGCTAACTTCACCTTCTCTCTCTGCAGGAAGTGATTCCTCCTCCACCAGAATTTCCTGCAGATCCTTGGCAAGCTTTCCTAGACTACATGGCGGCCACGGAAGGACAAGAGTCCCAGGTGAAGATGGGGCTGGAGGGCCATGTCATCGAGAGAGGCATGCACAAGGGCAAGGGTGTTGCCGTCTTTACCAGTGGAGGCGACTCCCAGGTAAGAAAATTTGTCTGGAAAATTTAGAAAAAATGTTTGATTACTTCTTTAAGGAAAATTACTAATATTTAAGATTAGGTTTATGGAATAAGAAAATCTTTCATTTCAACTACCTCTTTCTCCCATCCAGGGTATGAATGCTGCAGTCCGTGCTGTAGTTCGCATGGGCCTGTATGTTGGTGCCCGGGTATTCTTCATCAAGGAGGGTTACCAGGGCATGGTAGATGGTGGTGATCATATTGTAGAAGCAACTTGGTCCAGCGTCTCCGGCATCATCCATAAGGTTAGCAGAATATCCTGACTCGGGACACTTTTGATGAGAATTATTGTTTTATGGTACCCCTTTTTTATCATTATTATTATTAATTTTAAAAGTTAATAATTATTATTTTTAAAACTAGTCTTTGAATAATATATTTAAAAAAAATCAGGAAGCATCAATTTGTAGCCTCTTAAAACATATATTTCACCAATCGCCAGTGAATTTGTAATAACTTTCTCAACAGGGTGGCACAGTCATTGGCTCGGCCCGCTGCAAAGATTTCCGCGACCGTGAAGGGCGCATGAAAGCTGCTAAGAACCTGATCAAGCGGGTATCACAAACCTGGTGGTGATTGGTGGTGATGGCTCACTCACTGGTGCCAATTCTTCAAGCAAGATTGGCCAGCACTTCTCCAGCTGCTGCTCAAGAAGGTAAGGAAGGATCTATGGTTGCTATTTTGTGTGATTAGATTTTTTCTGTCTTGTATTGTTTTGTTTGTGTTGTTGTATTCCAGTACTCTTCTGTTTTTTTCTTGCCCTACTTTTGCTTCCTATTTCTTATTCTCTATTCTGATTTATTGTCCCTATCCCTTCACTTTGAGCCCCTTGCCCTACCCTAACACCAGACCTTGGCAAACTATGGCCCACGGGCTACATCTGGCCCTATGTGCGTTCCTGTCCAGCCCGCTAGAGGCTGGACAGGGACTAAATATATAATATATTAAATATATGATTTATCAAATATATTATTTATTAAATGTATATATTTATGAAATATTTAATTCATTAAATATGTAATGCACTAAATATATGATTTAGTGCATTTTACAATGGAAGAAAGTTGAGCAGAATTAAGTTCAAGTTATCTTTAGTGTGGCCCTCTGACACAATTCAGGTTTCTCATGTGGCCCCTTAAAAAAATTAATTGCCCACCCCTGCCTAACACTGTGGGCACTTTCTTTTGTCCGTTACTTTGAGACTCACTGCAGTCTATTTTTGTATGCCTCCTCCTCCTCTCCTCCTCCTCCTCCTCCTCCCTCCTCCTCCTCCTCCTCCTCTCCTCCTCCCTCCTCCTCCTCCTCCTCCTCCTCCTCCTCCTCCTCTTCCTCCTCTCCTCCCTCCCTCCTCCTCCTCCTCTTCTTCCTCCTCATCCACCTCCTCCTCCTCCTCCTCCTCCTCCCCTCTTCCTCTTCCTCTTCCTCTTCCTCTTCCTCTTCCTCTTCCTCTTCCTCCTCTTCCTACTCCTCCTCCTCTTCCTCCTCTTCTCCTCCTCCTCCTCTTGCTCCTCCTCTTGGTCCTTCTCCTTCTCCTCCACTTGCTCCTCCTCTTATTCCTCTCTTGCTCCTCCTCCCCCTCCCCCTCCTCCCCTCTCCTCCCTCTTCCCTCCTCCCCCTCCCCCCTCCTCCTCCTCCCCTCCCCCTCACCTTCCCCTCCTCCTACCCCACACCTTCCCCTCCTCCTACCCCTCCCTTCCCCTCCTCCTATCCCTCCCCTTCCCCTTCCCCCCTCCCCTCCCACTCCCACTCCCTCCACTCCCACTCCTCCTACCCCTCCACCTCCCCCTCCTCCCTTCCATCCTCCTTCTCCTCCTCCTATCCCTCC